GCAGGCAAGGACTCAGGAGACCCGAGTTCAAATCCTGACTCAGCTAGAGATGCTCATGAGGGTTGGCCGTGGCAAACCATTCCATAACTAGCTCCCATGCCATGAAAACCCCAAATACGGATGCAACTTGGCACCAAAGAACAGCGACGCATCTATCAAAAGCCTTTCTAGGAACTGCAGAGAAGAGCCATACCCTACTCTCATTTTCCTCCTGGGGATCTCCACAACAACAGGGCAGGAAAGCAACCGCTTTCAGGCCTCATCCACTCATGCTTCTTCTGTTACACTTTTTTTTGGGGTTGTGTTCTAAATTTTAACCAATAGAAATTATTTAGAAAAACAACAACTCACATGGAGACAGAGCGAGGAGCCTAAAGTCATCCGGCGAGTTCCCTGCCGACCAAAACATAGATTTCTAAAGCCTGGAGCGATATCTCACTGGCTGTACCATGCTTGATCTCCACTATTAGGCGCACAAACACACCCACACTCACAAAGGTAATCCTTCCCCCCAGGAGACCCACAGATTTTCGTTGTCTGTGCTTGTGAAAAGGCCTCTAGTCTTTCCATAAAGGAGAACTGTTCTCCCAGTATCTGTATCATCCTGTAATTATAGATTCATCAATGGCTAGTATCAATCCGAGTGTCTTTTCTATCTGGAATTTCACTCCGACCCCACCGTCTGGCCGCGTATGAGTGCACACAGACCCGAACCTCGTAAGACTACGCGCCATGCACATAGAGTGAAGTGGACTTCATCCACAAAAGTTCCCAGGTTCATAAGTCTGTTAGTCTTGAAAGTACCAAACAATTCTTTTGTTGCTAAAGAGCCGCTACAGTTAATGCTAATATTTGGAGAGGAACGTTAACCTGTAAAGCTGAAACAAGACAAAAATATGGGGGCATCTTAAAAAAATGTTCAGGTCCATTTCACTGAGAGGTTATGTGCATTACAATGAAACTGAAAACACATCAGGAAGTCTTTAAAGTGCCATAATACTTATGTTTTTATGTTTTTATGACCCAGGTTGAAACGGAGGTACATGGCTACCTCTTTGAAAAACCAGCACAGAGCCTTGTGACACCTTAAGGGCTGAAAGGTTTTATTTGGCTGGAGCTTTGCTGGATGATTTATAGCCCTGGTTTGAAATCTTATTTGGGATCACCGTCCATGCCCAGCAGCTCACTTCTACATTTGAAGAAATGGTTCACGGAATCATAGGCAGAATGAATTTGTCCTTCTTTACAAAGTGCCATAAGATCTGGTGCTATTGCTTCTATGACAGGCTTGGGGTGGGACCAAGCACAGAGCTTGGGAAAGTTATGATTTTTCTTCAAAAAGGAAACCCCCAGAATCTGCCAGGGAAACAGTGTAGATCTGGGAACAGGAAGTCCAGAAAAGTAACTTAGGGAAAAGTCCCTCAGCTGTGAACCACAGTCCTGCCCTTGACTCCTTCTCTTACAGCTCTTCCGAAAGGATCTTCCTTGTCTCTCTGCTTTCCCCTCCTCCTCAAATATCTACTGTGTGGCTCCCCCTCCTCAGCATCCCCGAGAGCCTGGGGAACTACACTCTACTGGAATCCAAGCAACGCAATCTCAAGCATACTTCCAAGTTACAGAACCTTTATGTTTCTGTTTTTCCCTACGCTTTCCTATGAAGCCGCAAAATACATTCTGCTTAGCCAGGAAGACCGCTTTCTGCTTCCACCACCTCAAGACCAAAGGCTCAAGAGGCGTCTTGCACCCCCGAGCCAAATTCCACACATTAAAACATGTACCTAGCGCGCTGGTAAAGCTCAGTCATAAAACGCTCGGGGCGGCAAACATTGCTTGCTTTTACAAGCTGCCGGCAAGGTCAGTCACCCTGATTTCCATTTTGCAGTGGAAGAACTGAATCAGAGGCTGAGAGTTTTGCCCCAGGGGTGACAGGCCACCCCAAAGAGTCCCCCACAAAACTGGACACCGGCCAGGCTCCCCCCTCCCTTTGGGAAGGGCCGACTCTAGAGCAAGTGCCCGGGGGAACCTTCGGCCGTGCCCGTCCTTAAAAGGACCCATGCTCTGTGCAAACGACCCATCTGACCCCACTCTTCCCACTCTTCCCAGGACTGACGGAGAAATGGTCCTGGGTCCAAGCCCTGGCTCCCTGCAAGGAGCCTCTTGCCACCCTGGCAATACCCAGTGCCCGGATAGAGGGAAGACCAGCTCAAGACTCTTATTCCAGGGTCCCTCTGTAGGCACTGAGCAGTCTCTCTCTCTCTTTCTCTCTCTCTCTCTGGTGCTGGGGACTGAAGAGAGGGGGCCCCACAGGCATGGAACAGACTCCAGGACCCACCTTCCTGCCCCCCCCCCGGCTGCCAGGCTCTGGCATCAGGAAGACAATAGGGGGATTTCCACCAGCAGACAAGAGGAGAGAAAAAAGGGACCTAAAGTCTCACTTACTGCCGAGGGATCTTTGGCTCTCGGCCGGAACCGCCGAGGCTCCCTCCTGGCAGGGACCCCAAGTGCCCGGGCGGAGGCTGGCCAAGAAGAGACCAGG